TTCTGAGAGTTCATAGTTTTAGGATTATCTAAAACTGGACAAGGTAAATGCACAATCTTTATGTCTATAAAATATATACAGTAGTATATATAATGCATATATATTGACTGCATAATGGACACAGTGGTGCTGAAAGTAGTAAGTGTAAACATGTATCTCTAAAGTACATTTTAGTTTACATTTAGGGGCATTACTACAGCAATTTAAACTCAAATGGAACTAAAGCTAAAGAGAAGCACTTGTGATTGGAAATTCGCAGTTACTTCATTGTAAGAGTGTTAATTTTTAGGTAAAATTAAGGAGGCTATAATGTAGCTGATGAATGTAGCTTCACCAGGAAAACACATTAAGAGGGGAAAAATGGTACAGCAAGTCTCCAGGGACAAAAATGTCTGCCACATGAATCAGCATTGTACATCAGATTACTGGTGCCATGCATCAGAAAAGCATGAAGGATGACTTGTGTTGTGTTTTTTAAGAAGGTAGACGACCGGTAGATCAGAAAGACACTACGTGTGAACCGGGGTGGCCCTGGGGTGAGCACACATCATACAAGTCATCATGGTTCATAACCGGGTGTGATGCTAAGAGGGAGCATGGAAAATTACCACATAGCAAATTAACTCGGAGGAGTGTGATTAAAAATAATTTTTGTGAAACTAATTTGCACTTACTGCAGCATAAAATTACGGTTGCATTGGAACAGTTGGTTCAATTTTCAGAGGACCATCAGGACTTTTGAAAATTTAATGAGGATCCAAATTGCCTCTTTCTCTCCCATCCACATCATGTATTTGTGACAGCCCAATGTTGGCCCTGCCTGGTAATGACCAAAGAGCCACACAGCTGCAGCACTTTAATACGCACACATAAGCCCAGGTGGATCTAGTGGGCAGAATTTAGGAAACTTATAGTTGCTACAGTAGCTTCAGTGGCCCATTTCTTGGATTGTATTTCTGATTGACTGTAGTGATTCAGAGAATTGTATCAGATGGAAATAAAACAAGATTACACATGTTACCGTGTCACTCGGCTCATTAGTATCATAATGTCAAGAGACTGCAGGTCAGTGATGGGTTAAACGGACGGTCTTTCATCTCTTGGCTTAATTTAAAACCACAGGGGCCAATAACCATTTTATATCCTTATAAAAGTTTATTTAGAAATCTAATGTTCAAAAGGTTTTAAAGGAGATAATAAAAATCCATATCGATCACAATTTTAGAATATGCATGTAATCAGCTATAACTAAATGGTCCTGGTTATTACAATTCTCAGTTACCACAGTTTGTATGTTGTTTGAGGGGTGAAATACTGTGTAACAGTGAGCCTTGCACTTACTGTGTGTGCATGTGGTACCTTTCCCTTATGTGGATGACAAAGACACTTGCCTACTTGAATGAAAGACAGTAGATCTTTATGAGCACAGCATGATAAGGCAGGAAAACATTAGGGTGACGGGTGTTCTAACCAGTCTTCCTCATGGTCGTTGTGTGGAAGAGAAATGTTGAAGATGACAGCCGAGAGAGCAAGCACAATATAATCAGCCTTTACCTCAGTGTGCCCTCCATCCAGAATAACAGTTTTTTTTTTTGTCCTCTGCTGATATCCATGTTTTTTTGGAAATGACAGAATGACTGACTGACTTTGATTTGTTACAGAAGATGGAGGTGCCTGCTTACCAGCCTGCACACTGCTTCAGTCCATATACTCAAGGATTGCAGAGGATTCATCACTGATTACGCCCCTTAGTGGTATTTATATATGGGCTAACAGGAACACAATGTCAGACTGAAGGAATTTACTAAGACAAAGTCATAATTCAGCCTGATGACCAGGTTAGCATTGATAAATAAGCACTCACCTAAATCACACTCATCAATGCATGAAGATCAAAAGTCAGGCAACTGATGCAGTTGTTTTTTCATCATCATAGAAATTTGTTTTAAACTGATTTTCCAGAAAATGGAACCTACGCTGTGGCTTTCTTAAGCCAGAATTATGCTTCTCCATGCTGCACGTTAAGTAAACGTACACGGGACATGATCTAAGACATTATGTTCCTTTTATATTTGTACGGATCAGGGATTTAATGTCCATGTTCTCAAGGGGCAGTGTCATGTTTAGCAAACACAGTGAACTCAGTATCGCCCCGGTGGCAATATAAACCATTGACTATTATATAAAGGATGGACAGGCTAAGAGCTGCCAGAAGTGAAGCCACCACAGTGCGGTGGTTGGTTGCAGTATAAGTCATAAATCCTACCTCCTTCATGTTAGTGGATGGGACATGAGCCACACTAAAAACTCAAACTACAAATCAAATATATTTTTCCCAGAGGTCACTTCTGGGGTTTTTGGTAGATATTATCACGCTGATGTGTATACAAGTGGTCATTTTTCTGGTAACTTTGGTTTTATTTGATGACATAAAAAGTGTATTTTGGTTTATTTGACAGCTTTGATTGGCGGCCAGATGCCGTCACTACTCTTCTCATTACTACCATGCAGAATCTGGTTGCAAAAAAGCAAAATGGCAGCCGCCATATTCACAACATTTTGGCTTCATTTTTGCATAGTGGAGGGAAGTGGACACCTTGGATACGTCTACACAGATATTTAAGTGTATCATCAGTGAAGCATAAATCTGGCATGAGGTGAAAAATGTCAAACTGCCCAAGGTGAGAGCAGCAAAATCTAAATTACATAGCTGATCTGTGTTCAGGTTTTTGCCAAGTTCTCTCATGCACTGACTGAAAATCTTACAGTAAGATCAAAAAGAGCTGATCCCAGACTCATGGTCATGGGTAACCTTGTACCTACAGCAAGCAAGCCACAGGAGGGCATGTTACTGCCGCAGGCTGAACACATATTTGAAAGTGCTGTGTTAAAGAGACGGATATAAAAGGCCTGAGTGTTGATGACAAACTGTAAATACAACTGTGTTGTTGGGAGCAGACTGCAAGCAGGAAAGGGGCTAGTATGATTCAACTGATCAAATTTGATACATCTTGTTCTATAGCACATTTTAAGATGTTCAACTGACTTTCTCCTGACATTTTCTAAATTATGCCATAAACAGATCTGTTGAGCCTGCTTCTTCCTTTACTCTCCTCTGTCTGTAGTCTTGTGTTTTTTCCTATCATTTTGTTATATGTGAATTGTGCACAAATGTGAAGTATTTGCTTTGTAACCTCACAAAAGCCTTTGATTTTAGAGGATCATCATCATTATCTTTTTTTGTGCTAGTCTCAGTCTGATTTGTCTTGGCTTAACTCATATCTTCATGACACTAATCACTGTGTTGCAATAAATGGTAATAAATCTAATTTAGGTAGTGCCAAAAAAGGCCACAATGAAAGGGTGCATTTCAATTCCCTTAAGTGCATCCACGTTTCCCTCAGGTGCTTGTTTTCCTTGTGTCTTAGTTCTGCTCAAAAAGAGGAGAGAGAGAGGATTCGAACAAACGTTTTCAGGTTAGTGTTTGTCCTGGTAAAGAACAAACTCAGTGCTTTCAGTTCCCATCATGTCACTTGGAAAGTTAGCTGCTGTAAGCCTATGATCTCAAGTTAACAATACCTTGGTTAGTGTTTGTGTATTTTTGTTGTGTATTTTCCTGTTTATGTCTTTACTCATGCTCTGTCTATAATGTGTAGTGCATTTAGGGGTTATTCTGCATGCTCTCTTTATCTTTAATTAAGAATTAAAATTCCCGGTTACTCATTTGTGACAATACATATTGTATCATGAAAATATTTCATTTTTGAAGTTCCAACTAAAAATGCCCTGGCATCTACAGCATCCTTTATGAATCTTTGAAAAGAAACTGGTAATTTATTGTTATTATTAAATTATTTTGGCTACAAAACTGTACTGGACTACATTTATCACTTTTAGCTCTTGACAGTTTGCCTCTCCTTCACCCATTCACACACCAAACAAAACAAGCTCCCATGCAAGGCACAGACCCAATCATCAGGAGTAACATTGGGTTCAATGTCTTTCTCAAGGACAGAAGGAACCATGGATCGAACCACTAATGATGTGATAGGGGACCCACTGTAACTGCTGATCTATAGTAAATAACAAATTTCTGTTCTTCCCTTTCATTTATTCCCAAACCAGAGTAGATATATTGTCCACCAGTTTGGTTTTGAAAGCCACCACCCTTTCGTTCCCTGCATTCAGGGTCATCACAGCCACATGGGATGTGACATCCCATGACAGCATGGGCTCTCAGTGTACTATAAACCCAGAGCTTTGCCCCTGTCGCACTGTGGTCACTCCCCAGGCCTCAGCGGTACAAGCCTGGCTGGTCTCAGCTTGCACTCCCTCTCTCCTCTGTGACAAAGTCTCTTCCACCCAAAGTTAATTTTTAATGACACACTTTGTTATGTGGTTCCATAGGGGGCCCTTAGTGGCTCTGCTTTAATAAAGAGAGCTTCACTGCCTGCTCCCTTCAGAGAAGGCTTCATTAAAGCCATTGAGGGGAAAAAAGGCCTTTGAAGTCCCAGATTTCACCCTCTCCAAACTTTATATATCTCTGTCCAGCTGTCTGCCTTGTATTTTATGAGTTTATTTTCATTTTTATGTCAAAAGATGCAATAAATAAACAAGATATTTTGAAGGACAGATGATGTGACCCCCTAAGGGCCACTTCATAACTTTAGTGCAGAGTGTGTGAGTGTGTGTACCTGTATGTGGGTCCATGGTGGTTGGAGCAGAGAGAGAAGGTGCTCATACACCATCAATCTTCATCAATAATCATTCACCATCATCTTATAATATCCCTCACCATAAAACCAAGAGGCCCATGATAGTGTTATTAAGATGTGGGATTGGTCTTCTAACTATCATTTATACTTTGTTTTAAACCGCAATTGTAATATTGCTCTAAAAAAAATCACAATTAATCATTTTCCCATATCATTCAGCCTAAGTATACATACACTATAAGAATAACTTATTAATCTCACTTCTGATAGATGACTCAGACCTTCTCTGACAACAGGTTCATCCCAAATCAAGCTGTGACCCCCGAGCCCCGACACTACAGCTACATGCCCCACTTTAACCACAATGCCAACATTTTCTGTGACTACACTCCCAGCCAGGCCTCTGGTCATCTGCCCCTTCACCAGCAGCCCCTGCTGGTTGGACCCCAACTGCCCCATGCTGGGATGGAGGGGAAGCGTGGTCGAAGGGCCATGGGGAAAAAGAGGCCTGCCATCCACAGCTGTGAATACCCCGGCTGCAGCAAGACCTACACCAAGAGCTCACACCTCAAGGCTCACCTCCGCACCCACACAGGTAAACCCTGTGACTCACCACAGAAACAACAAGAAAGTCTGTCATGGTTGATCTCAACACGCAAGTTCATTTACATGTTCATTTGTTGTTAATCATCAGTATGTGCTTTATTGTTTACTCATCAGGAGAAAAGCCTTACCACTGCTCATGGGAGGGCTGCAGCTGGAAATTTGCCCGCTCAGACGAGCTGACACGTCACTACCGCAAGCACTCGGGTCAAAAACCCTACAAGTGCCTGCTGTGTCAAAGAGCCTTCTCCCGCTCCGACCATCTGGCTCTGCACATGAAGAGACACACCTGAAGCTCCCTCCCTCATGCACACACAAACCACTGGCATTTAAACAAAGAAATTAAAAGGCAGACAACTTAATGACTCAGAAATAGTTCTTCTTCTGATTCAAATCAGCACACTGAGCAAGTGCATATGAATGGACGCATATATTAACATATTCTCAGTAACCTGAAGTGTGTACTTCATTATCTGGATGGTTAAAAATATGGGCACACAGTTAGATTTGAAAAGTGACAACACAACCAGTGATGTTTGCCACCATAAATTATTGAGAACAGGCATCCTGGTGGACGTTATTCAATATTGTTATTGTCTGGTTTCTTGACCATTTTTGGTTTGGTGCAAAGCAGAAATGACACAAATCTCATTCAAAAGTTTTCAACAAATGGAATACTCTCTCAGTTCAGATTCCGATGTGTTATCCTAGAAGCAGCTAATGTTGCCTCAAGTAAAGATGAGCATCAGGCTGCAGGGGTCTGCTCTGTTCACTTCTTTCTAGATCTACACCTCCAGCTTTTAGCTCAGCTCCAACCAACACCGACTCTAAGCACTCGGGTCAAAAACCCTACAAGTGCCTTGAGGCAGTTTATCATGTTGTGTCACAAAAGGCTTCATATAGCTATTTCCCCACCAGTGCAACAGTCCTCCCCAAGGCCTTTAAACACACTTTTATGTGTATAACTGGCAGACTTCTTCTTTAATGTGACAGTGTAGGCTTGTTTTTAATTAGCTCCAGTTTAGAATATATGTACTCAGATTAGTTTATTGGACATCAACATCGACAACGAAGCTGTTGGAATAAGTTTTTCTCATTCTCTCTTCAACCCTGACACACACGCATACATGTAAACTTTGAGGACCTCCATTAAGTGTAAAGATTTCTCTATTCTTAAACCTTAACCATCAGAGCCATGTCTGACCTCAGTCCTCATCATATAAGCTATATCTAAATATAATTGTAATCCTAAAACCGAAGACTTAGTTCTTACTCGACTAACTGACAAAGAAAGGACCAAAATGCCCTCACTCTGAAAGTCTGAACATTAAACTGGTCTTCTACAGACCAGTACAAGAACTCACTATCAAGATGTAAAGTTAAGGCGCTTTCTGCAACAAGAGCCGCTCAGGAACACAATGTACACAAGGTGGGCAGTAGACAGCAGACGTAAACACTAACAAAAGACCTGCCAAAAACGTGTGTAACAGAAGTTATAGTTGTGTATCCAGCATGGCTCACTTACTGCTTAGCTGTATCGTCACAGAGATGAGCTGATATCTTTGTCTGATTTTTCTTGCGAGCAAGAACATTACCACCGAATAATGATTGTAAATTGAACAAGATAACTTCAAAGGTTTTGTGGAGTTTTACTTATGGAGACAAATAACAAGAGACTCGACGACATGACCAGAGAAATACAGGAGATAAAAACGAGTTTGCAGTTTACCCAGCGAGATGTGGATGTGATTAAAGCAGCCATGGGTGAACAGAAAATACAAACCAAGGAAACAAGGGATGATGTCTACAAAACTTGTGAGAGTCTAATAGCCATAATGGATAAAATGGAGCATTTGGAAGTACAGTCCAAGCGAAAAAACCTGATCTTCGAGGGAATCAAGGAGTCAGCTGGAGGAAGCTGGACGGAAGCGGAATGTAAGGTGAAGGAAATATTAAAGGA